TTTTGTTGTTGTAGGAGGCGCATGGAGGAGGATTAATGAGACACTTTGGCGTCAAGAAGACGGAGGATATACTTGCTACACATTTCTTTTGGCCAAAGATGAGACGGGATGTTGAGCGTTTTGTTGCTCGCTGCACTACATGTCAAAAAGCTAAGTCACGACTCAATCCTCATGGTTTATATATGCCTTTGCCTGTACCTAGTGTTCCTTGGGAGGATATATCTATGGACTTTGTTTTAGGTTTACCTCGAATAAAGAAGGGGAGGGATAGCATTTTTGTTGTCGTGGATAGGTTCTCGAAAATGGCACACTTTATACCATGTCATAAAAGCGATGATGCTGTTAATGTTGTTGATTTGTTCTTTCGTGAAATTATTCGCTTACATGATGTGCCAAATACTATTGTTTCAGATCGTGATACTAAATTTTTTTAGCCACTTTTGGAGATGTTTATGGGCTAAGTTGGGGACTAAACTGTTTTTTAGTACTACTTGTCACCCCCAAACTGATGGACAAACTGAAGTAGTCAATAGAACATTGTCTACTATGCTTAGGGATGTTTTGAAGAATAACAAGAAAATATGGGAAGAATGCTTGCCTCATATTGAATTTGCTTATAATCGTTCATTGCATTCTACTACTAAGATGTGCCCTTTTGAAATTGTGTATGGTTTCCTACCTCGTGCACCTATTGATTTGTTGCCTCTTCCATCTTGGGAGAAGGTTAATTTTGATGCTAAAGAACGTGCTGAATTGATTTTAAAAATGCATGAGTTAACTAAGGAAAACATTGAGCGTATGAATGCTAAATATAAACTTGCTGGAGATAAGGGTAGAAAACATGTTGTGTTTGCACCTGGAGATCTTCTTTGGTTACATTTGCGTAAGGATAGATTTCCTAATTTGCGCAAATCAAAGCTAATGCCACGTGCTGATGGTCCTTTTAAGGTGTTAGAGAAAATAAATGATAATGCATATAAACTTGAGCTGCCTGCAGATTTTGGGGTTAGTCCCACTTTTAACATTGCAGATTTGAAGCCTTATTTGGGTGAGGACGATGAACTTTCGTCGAGGACGACTTCATTTCAAGAAGGGGAGGATGATGAGGACATCAATACCATTGTTACACCCACAGCCCCTGCTGCTATACATACTGGACCAATTACTAGAGCTCGCGCACGCCAATTGAATTATCAGGTACTTTCGTTTCTTGGTAACGATTCTAATGTTCATGAGAATATGATGTTGCCTAAATTGGATACATTTGTTTTGCTTACAAATGAAGGGCCTAGCTTGGACAAGAAAGATGAACCTTGGAGCAAGTTCAAGCATGAAGATGATGGCATGCGCAAGGGGATCAAGAACGGAGTTATAAGTGATGATTTCAGGACTTTGAAGCCACCATAAGGAGTGCATGAAGCCTTGGACGAAATATACAAGATGCCACTTCATAAATTTTGTCTAGAGGCTATTTTAGGTGCGGCGTCACCTTATTATTGGGCCAGGCCCATGTATTTTCGAAATACTTAAGTATAGGCTGTTTTTAGAGTCCGTATGTGTGGGGAAACAAGATTTAGGGTTGGTTTCGGACCCCTCCTCCAAGGGCCACGAAACCCCCCCTCTTCCTCCGTATATACAACCCTTAGGGCATCGTTTAGACTTTGGGTTTTGTTTAGATTAAAAGTTCGTCATAGCTGCAACTTCGCGTACTTCATTTGTGTCCAGCGACCAGACCAAGACGTCACAGAACCCCACCTTGATCAATAAAGCTTTCATCTTATATTCGCAATATCTAGATTGCAATCTCAGTTTCTTGCTTGTTCTTCATTTGCTCGCAGGAAATAGGCCCTCGTGGTCAGGTTGATCGTGCTCCGGTGTGGTCAATAACCCCTTGGAGTTGGTTTAGCGATTGCTAAGGCGCGACGTCCTCGCACGTTCGTAGTCGGATCGTCAAAGTCGACTTCCTCTAAAACGATAGCCACCATCTCATCGAAAGATGGGACACCTTTGCCTCTATCACAATATTTCACCCTAAATGAATCTCCTTTACTTTCTCTCTTAAGCATAGCCCGCACTGCAGCAGCAACTACTGCGGTAGCAAAGCAGTCCGCGGAACTACAATTTCCTCGTCTCCAACGGTGTTGAGCGTCAACCATCTTGCCGTTGGCTCATTGTCCTTGATCACAAGAATGTTTCCATTGTTCACAGTGATGACCTCCTTCAATCTACATCACCATAACAACATATTAAGCATCCGAGCAACTAAGATTAACTGCACTTGATACTTATGGTACTAAAGGTGCAAAATTAGCATGTTTGGCCATGTGCACAGCAAATTCTGTGAAAATCAATCCTACAAGTATTTGAAATAAAATCTGCAAATTTGTGAGATATTAATAAATTTTTGTGATTGTGGGCATCCCCGTGCAGATTGCAGAGTACTTACAACATATTAAGCTTATGAGTAACTGAGATTAAATGTACTTGATAGTAGACAATGATGCTACCATCACCGATTGTAACTGTTGTCTGCTACTTCTGAGGCCTAATTAAAAAAATCAGAAGGATGCTTGTGCGTGCTCTGGTTGTGCCAAGTGCCTACTAACCCATACAGAACACAAGCCATTTAAAATAGATAGACTTATTCCCTTTACCATTACAATTCATCTGCAATTATTAATTAGTATTTTGAAAGATGTATCATAAAACATACAGATCAGTATCTAAGTAGTAGTAGTAGTTAGTAGTTAATGCTAGGCAATGACAATCTGTGTACCATGTAAGTCTGCATAATATAATCTGACAAAAGAAAAGGACCACAGAATAGAATACCAACAATCTTATCCAACATATAATTAATAATCTTGTTTCTCCTTTCTGTAACATAGGGAGCTTAGAAATAATAAGTTTACACAATCGAGATCTTCGCATTGGGTGACACAAGATATTGAAATTCTCTTAGTGCACAGATTCAGCAAAGTAAGGAGAGTGCATGGATATGTCTAGCAGATGCAGTTGGCACTGTAGACTGAAAGTGCAATATTGACACCATGACTTCAAATCGATAGTCATTTCTGTCAATCACATTATGGCCAAAAGCGTTTATCTAGACAATGGAATAAGTTCATGTTTCATATGCACTTCAATATAGAATTACATAATGCGACTTCAAATCAGTAGTCATTTCTGTTAATCACATTATGGCCAAACGCATTTATTTAGATAACGGAATAAGTTCATGTTTCATATGCACTTCAATATAGAATTACATAATGCCTACAAGCCTGTATAACATAGCAACACATATTCTCATGTGAAGATTGCCTCTATTATTGATGATATTCATGTGACAATCTTCTGAGACCACCAAGATTCATTTTAGAAAGCGAGAAACATGATATTTGCAAGCAAGAAACTTGATTATATCACTGAACATTCTATATCCACGAGAAATTCACATAGAGCATTCTATGATGGACATGAACCACATTGTGAGGCCTCAAAATACCAAGAATAGCATAAGATAGCAGATATATGTGTCCACATGTTTTCAGCATCCTTCAAAATTTAATAGGCTCAGTTACTATTTAGCGCGCATCAATGACAAACAAGATCAGCACCTAAGCCATGCTCAATTGCACTCTTTGCAAAGCAATCTAGAATCAGCATTGTAGATATTACAGGACAAAAGCTTTCCTAGACTACCGGTTGTAAGGATTTTGCTAATCATAAAAAATAAAAATAAAATAATAGAGAAGACCTGTCATCACACAGCCACACTCCCATTTGTAAATCATATAGTTCAGGATGCAAGTATATAACTGATCAAACCTTTGAAGTGATCAACAAAGATTCTGCAAATCCAGCAATCGTCATTTGTTTCTTGGAGCCAAGAGTTTTAGCCACCACTAACAACAACTACCTTCATGACCAGTACTTGAAAACTTTTTCTTGCCAATTCACTATAATGAGTGTATCTCTCAGTCAGACAGGCAACCAAAAAAAGCAGTCATGTTTATAGTAACTAAAATTTTACTTGTAGTAACTGAATCCCATAATAGTTTTTCTTTAAGAACTAAAAACTTACTTGTATATTAGTGGAACATGTAACCAAAAATTTGGTCAGACATGCACCACATCGACCTTCTCTTTTCATTAACTTAGCATTTACTTGTATAGTAAGTAAATCCCATAACAGTTTTGTTTTAGCAACGTAGTCTACATATTTTTGTTTCTTTTATACTTCAATTGCTATGTCTAAAATGAAATAAACGTGGGAGGACCATGAATCCACGACCAACAACTAAATTCTAATGCGTATCTGTATATTAGACTATTTCAATTCATAGCATCAGATGTTTCAGCACCGAATAAAATATAGTGACGCACCATGAATGTTCTAGGCCACGGTGTGCAACAACTGAACAACATGCTCGCTATTTTTCGTGACGGAGCTGGAGTGGTGGCCAGCCGACTACCCCTAAAAACACGTGACCGAATTTGCAGCAGGAATCACGTTGTGTCCTGCCGGTGGCGCTCCGCATCCGGGAGCAGGAGGTGAGGTGGAGGGGGGAGGCAGACGGTGGGGTGCTCACTCGGCTAGACCACGTCGGCCGACATCGTAGTGGAGCAGATCCTGTTCCTACCAATCGCGCGGCGGTTGTCTGGGCGCAAATCATCGGATGGCAGCAGACATGGAAGGCACAAGAAGGAGACCCTCCCTCGTGATATGGTTCATATCTCCAAAAATTATATTAACATTTATATATCTACTAAATGTGTATTCCTCGTTGCAATGCATTGGCTTCGTAAACATGCGCTAATGAGAAGCCGGATGATTATTTAGCCTAGACTAGAGGCAGCGAAGCGAATCGGGCGGAAGCACAACGACGCAGTCACGCACCGGCTCTTTCCTCCACCCCTCGTAGGGCTAGCTAGGGTTTCTCCGCCCAAATCGTGTAATAATAACCCACTTGAAGATTCGCGCGAACGCTGCGGCGATGGCCACCACCGTCCAGCCCCACTCCCCGGACCCAACAGCCATCACCACCACCCCTGCCCCACCCCCTCCCCCTTCTCCACCTCGCCAGGAGAACCCGACCGCCGCGGGGGAAGGCGTAGAGATCGCGGCGCTCGATGAGCAGCCTGCCGCCGTCGCCGTCGCCGACAAGGGGAAGACGGCCCCCGGCGGCGGGAAGCTGGTGGCGGAGGCCATGCGCAAGTGCGCGGCGCCCCGGTCGTCGCGCTACCACGGCGTGACGAGGTGGGCAAGCTAGGCAGGACGTTGTTACTGTTCATTGGTAGGGCTGGCTGTCCCTGTGTGTTGTTGACTCGATTGTTTGTGTTCGTGTGTATGCTGGGGACAGGCTCAAGTGGAGCGGCAAGTACGAGGCACACCTCTGGGACAACACCAGCCAGGTTGAGGGGCGCAAGCGCAAGGGCAAGCATGGTGCGTAGTTTTGCTGTCCACACTCTAGCCTGCTCATTCAATGATTTTCAGAGCCCAACGAAACTATCTATGGTTTAACTTGGAAATGCTGAGAGGGCACTGATCAGTTATCACTTGCACTTGAATGGAAACACTGGGATAGTTGCAGGATGCACATACTGTGTCTTCTAATTTACAAATCATAATATGTGGCACCATAGTTCGAGTTACTAAAAGCGGACTAGGTCGTAATGCTAATATAGGATGATTGCTGCTCTGGATTAATGAATGTTTGTATGGGAATACAGGAACAACATCTCTGTTAGATCAGTAAATTGTTTATTGATATTCCTTCTTACTATGACACCTTGAAACCCTTGGTTGATGTAGGATGATAAATTTTGTGCAAGCGCAATAGAGTACACCTTTTTTCTTTCATAATAATAAGAGGAGAAGGGTATTATCAAATGTCTCTATTAAGTGTTTCTCTTCTTTCTGTAGGGATTAGGCATTTGAGAATCCTAGTGCTTTTTGTTATACAATGCAACATTTAATTGTGCACTTAGTATCTTCACTCTCCCTAACTGATTATTTTTCTTTGGATGTTCTGCATGGGATCGGTTTCTACCTTTGGCTGCCATTGTGCTTCTTCAGTGTACTTGGGTAACTTATACTGTCTGCCATCATAGAGTGAGTTTTGATTGAACTTAAAAACAGCTCAATTTAATCTTCATTTTGGCATTACAGGAAGCTATGTTACTGAAGAGAATGCTGCAAGGGCACATGACCTTGCAGCCCTGAAATATTGGGGCATAACTCAACCCACCAAACTAAACTTCAATGTATGAAGTGTTTGTTGTTTTGTGTATTTTGAGGAACTGGCATCTTGTTATACAGGAAAATGGAATTAACTTCTAATTGTTCTCTAGATTTCTGATTATGCAAAAGAAATTGAGATCATGAAGAGCATGAATCAAGATGAATTTGTGGCCTACATAAGGAGGTCTGTTATATAGTTGAATATTGCAGGTTTAAAACCTATGTGCTAGTTTTTCAAACTGTTCTTATGATTATTTCAGGCAGAGTAGTTGTTTCTCAAGAGGAACATCGTCATACAGGGGTGTAACAAGGTGCTATTCTATACTTCAGGAATATATATAAAGAATTATCTAGTCTGGTGAAATAAATTTGTAGGATTTTGATCCATCTTGTTTCCTTTTGCAACTGAAAATTTTCTGCTGTATTAAAACTTAAGAATTCTTCATGTTCAGTTCTACAGCAAATTTTAACTTTATCCACTCACTTGGACTAAACAGACGAAAGGATGGTAAATGGCAAGCACGTATTGGTAGGATTGGTGAGAGTAGAGACACTAAAGACATCTATCTTGGGACCTTTGGTGAGTACTGATTTTAGTAACTGATGGCATTAACCTTGTGTTGAAAACTATTTTGAGTGAGAGAATCACTGTGAGTTGAAACTTATTGTGAATGAATAAGGAATTGTGCTTGGTTGG